CGGATTTTTGAGGGGTGGTTTTTTTTTTTATATATTCTTCTGTCAAGACATATTTTGCCTAGTGAGCACTCTCTAAGTGCCGCCATAATAGTTTGGTTGTGCCATTGCCTCTACAAGAAAATAGTTTATGGGAGCAGTTCTTGCATTGTGCTGTTTTTAACTCTTTTGTTCAAATAACTTTGTCAAAGTAAAGCCACATTTCACTTCCACTGCTACGCTCGCTAGAGGTGCTAACATTATCCTTATTCTTACTATTATGACTATCATCTTGATCGTTATTAAGGTTATTATTAAAGTCGTTGCTATAGTCATTATTATAAATATAGTCACTATCACGGTCTAATACTGATGAAAAATTCATCAGTAGTAGATAGAATATTTTGCAAAAATATGTTTCTTTAAATTTAACAAAGGATATCATGCTAATTTATGTAATGCTATATATAAGTGTCACAAAGGGAAAACCTGTAATTCTTCAAGGAACATGGATATAAACTCGGAATTGTTTATGTGACACTATCAAGAAATATACAAGAATTTGGTTTTTTTTGTTAATACTATGTGATATAAGATACTATGATTTTAAAAAAAAATGAAAAAATAAAAGAACCGTTAACGACAGGTCCAGGCCTTGATATCTGCTTTTCTTACGACACCAATTCACCATCATTCATATGATTATCTACTGCTAATTATTAACTAAATTAAGAAATTAATAAATATCTTTTATTATATTACTTGATTTATTCTAGATTATTATTACACTAGTACTAGCAATGGACTAATTACTAATTACATTCTCTTTCATAATCCTGAACTATACGATTGTGCTTTTGAGTTGACTTGACTTTAATAATCAAATTTGTTTTTCTTTGGGCTTTTTCTAGTGGTCCCTGTATTGTTACTGTAAATAAATACGTATACTATAACAAATATCCTGATACGGTAATGAAAAAAGTTTAATTTAGTTTAATGAATTGTTAAATAAATACTGTAATAAAATTTTCAAGTTAAGTATTTTATAATAAAGCTGTGTTGTTTAGGGCTAGTGGCTTTTTGGGTTTAAAAAATTATTTGTACACTTCATTAAAATTGGTTAATAAAAAGTTTATTTGTACTGTACATTATCATAAAACAATATTTGAAGTTCTAACAAGTGAAGTTTTAGTATAAAATGTAACTCTCTTCCAATTCTAAAACTAACCTTAAAACCTTATCCTTACCTTATAGTTTTTTTTTTTTTTTATATATTAAGATGACCACTTAGGTCCCCGGCACTTGGCTTTATTCAGGTAATTATGATATTACATCAATTTTATGAGGATACAACTAGCCACACGTGTATTTTTGGTACCTAATTTAAGTAGTCCGCCTGGGTTCTACACTAGCCGCCATACCTGCAACCTAACTAGGAGAT